TGCAGCACTTACTACTTGAACTGAACACTTTGGCACAAGTTTATTTCATTGGTTAAGGGCGCCTTAAATTTAGTGAGCTTGATCAATTATTCCACTGAGTTGGGTAAGATACCTTGGATGAAAATCCTGGTATGTTGTAAGTTTTACAGGAAGTAGTCTGACTCACTTTAGTGCTAGTGTGCAACAGGTTTATAAGCCTTTGTCTGACTGAAGAAAAAAACATAAACTGGAGTCTGTATTTTTCAGACCCTCTATATCTATGATACAATAATAAGGTGAAACTAAAACCACAAACTGTCCAAAGTAGGAAGGAAGTCATCACATTTTCGTGTCCTTTTGTGGCCAAAGAAATCACTGGCTTTAAAACAAGCATTCAGTGTTTTCCTATCACTTTTATTCCCACCTGTAATTGTAACTAGCAGTGCTGCTTTTAAATGCAGAGGAAAACCCCAGTTCTGCCATGGGAAGCATTGCCTTTTATGAGGTCTCAGGTTTTAATTTGCCCTGAGGGTTAAAAAGGAAGATACTTGTTCAGTGGAGGACTTCTGCCATGCATGGCTCCTGTAAACCTGCTTTTGCTGTAGTCATGTAGTCAGCTGAATATTACTAAGGAAGGTCACTACATCACTCATTCACAAGCTCGGAAGGGAAATATTCCTGATTATTTCCCTTGCTCCGCCTCCATTCATTTCAGCTCCTCCTCTCAGTGCTGATAGCCTACTATATTTAAACAGCTGTCTTAGAGCAGAGGCAGGATTCAAGGCTTGTAGTTTGGTTGGCTTTTCCTGACTGTACAGGCATTTTCATAAAGATCTCACTTCTCATCGGACCTGCTGCTAAAGGTAAGGAGGCTGTAAGTAAATGCAGAGAGCTCTGTCTGGCATACTGTAACATTGCTTTCTGAATATCACAGGGCTGTTTTTAGAAAGGTATTATCTTTATGTACCATAAAGGTGAATTTTTTCCACATGCTTTTAATTGTGTTTGTGGGGTAAATGGCCTGGTATGTTAAGAGTGATAATGCGAGTGGAGGGGCAAAAACAAACTTCTGAAACTTGTAGGCAAGTATAAAACGTAAAAGCTATTGATATTTCTGTTTTTTAAAAGCATGAATGAATTCAAATTTAAAAACTGCTGGTGAAAGGAATGGGTTGATGAAGAAAACTGTTGCATTTGTGTTAGCATTGTTCTTGTTTAAACCTGAGTGTCATGGTAGCTCTTTCAGTCTCTTCCATTATTTATATACACTGACTGCACTGCTCTCTTGAACTCTTCTCATGTGCTGTACAGGCCACACTTGGTCATCCTTACTTGAGCAAGTGTCTCATTGATGTTATAGAGAGCATGACTTGCATATTGCTGGTATAACTTGGCTTTTTATTTCTACTGAAGCTCATTTAGTGTCATTGTTTTGCTAAATGCATCTTTGATTTTTCTTGTACTCACTTAAAACCCGTTTCAGTTGTGCAGCCTGGAACTACTAGGGGCCACATTGACCGACTTTATGTGAGTTATAGTCCCTCTAGGCTTAAGGCTGTGTCAGGAAGGTATGCAGAGTTTGGCCCAGAATGAGCTGGGTGGTTTTCCAAGCCAGAAAAATTACGTAACATCACATAGACACTGAAATGCTTTGGAACCAGCAAGGAGATAAATTGTGGAGCTTGCAGCATGCTCCCAAATGAAGAGAAGCCAAAACCGGGATCAGTGTCACTAAGTTGACTAAGTGTATGTGCCCAGCAGCCCTCTCTACATAAAAGGGGGGTGAGAAGAGCAGTCTTGGATTTCTTACTAGCTCAGGCTTTCTCTTACTGCTAAGTAGTTCTGTATAGACTTGAAATGAACTTCAGTGTCCTGTATGCTTTCCAATAGCCTCTGCAAGAACAGGCTTTCATCATCTGCTACACTGTGTTAGCTGTACAGGTTATTGAGGCATATGTGGTCCCTTGATTCTATAGGCTGGAAAAAAAAATAAATTAATCCACCTTTACTTCTAATGGCAGGAGAAGTAAACATTTGGCATGAAACTGAAATGCCTGAGGTGCTCTGAGCGCAGTTTTGCCCCCAGAAGTTAAACATTTAGGCTACAAGATGGGAATAGCTATAAACAGGTTCAGCATCTGCTTCACTTTTTACTTAAGACAAAGAATTATTAACTATGAATGTTAGAGATGGCAGCTATAGGATGTGCAAGGGACTTCACCCATTTGTAGAGATGTGCTAGGATAAACAGAAGCATCTCTGATGGCTAATCTTGTGTTGATAGAATTGTCCAGTGTCAAAACTTCAGGAAACAAAGCACATAGCACTAAAATGGTCATTATGGGGTTTTGTGAACCCAGATCCTGAATAAAACCATGGCTAAAAATGGTCATGTATGCGCATGGATCTTGTAATTTCATCAGAATAACAATTTTACTCCTCTAGCCATTAAGGTTTGGTTTAATTCCAGCAAATGCTCCTTTTTCATGTGTCAGAAGGTACAGAATAGAGGAGGAGAGTGAGATGAGGAGAGTGTTATCACTGAGCCTGCGGCTGCTGGCTTTGCTGTCTATCAGGGTGGGGTAGGGTGGCATACTCCAATGGCCAGGAGCCAAGGCAACCTTCCTCTGAAGCAAATAAGACTGCCAGGCTGACTTCTACAGTCTTGTGCCTTTTTTTGTCCCCTTCAGGCTCCCCCAGAAAAATGCTGGCACGCAACAGCATGACTTTGCGCCCAAGTCTTACAAACGGACTTGCAGGCTCGTTATTTATATGCTGGCTTTGCTGCTTTCCTGGAACTGTTGCCATGTGCTGCACTGGGTTGGTTCGGCAGTCCTTGCTTCCAGCAAAAATCCCATGGATGTTGCTGGGTTACCACTGTCTACAGAGTGCATACAGTCTTTCTGTGCATGCTGCTGCAGAGTGCTATGGAGCAGAAACCTCAAGATTGCTTCCAGAGAACTTGCTTCCTTCTTCCATACTCCCAATAGTTTCACAGAAATAAGGTGTGCACTTTGTGTTAAGAAAAGTTAATAAGAACTTGTCTGCTTGTGTAGTGCAACTGTGGAGAGGGATTGATTTGTTACCACGGAGAAAACCTTTAGGTGCTATGGTTTAGCTGGTTTGAGAGGAACACCTTACTGGTCACACCAGTGTCCTGTTCCTTTGGTGTCTCTGGCCAGCCCAGGTGCTAGTGCTGAATTCTACCAGTTGCAACTCTGGAGATTTGTGGTAGGGAATTTTTTGGGTGTAAATTTACACAACAATCTGCAGGTTTTGGTTCATGTGGTAGAACCTACCCAAAAGGCTGGGCAGTTAGGCTGTGCTCCTGCAGCTGGAAGGGTTGGCTTAAATATGCCTTAAGGGCTTGATGTATGCCTTGGTGTGGACGCCACACATCTTCTACATCTTCTGTAGTGTATGTGTCTACCTTTGAGTCCCAATTAAATCGGGAACCTAAGTTTCCTTGAAATCCAACTTTCTTCAAAGCTAGATGCTTGAAGTGACTTAAATTATAAAGCATGACTATTAAGTCTTTTAAGTGGTTCTTGCACCATCAGGCAAAATGTATCAGAGTTATAGACTAATGCTTTAAGTGGTAATAGGCAACCAATGTTAAACCGATCCAAAAAATTGAACAAAGCTGTTAGTTTCGAATTCAGCTTGTAAGCCTTATTATGTGCCTCTTTACTTGGATGAACCCAGTCCTCTCAGAATAGCTCTGTCTAGCCCAGTGATGGCTGTATACTGGTGTAAGAATTGTCACATCCTTGCAGGCAAATGCGCTTACAAGACTCCTCCTGGAAATCCTAATTTCACCTGTGGTTTTCTGGCTGCTCACTCAATCACCAGGGTCTTAACGGCGTTACTGTAACTGCTGGGGATGTAAATGTCAGGCTTAAAGTGGTGCATTACACTGTCGGATGATATTTGCTGCAATACCTGTGTCAAAGGCAGTGATGTGCCAGACCTTATGGAAGTGTGCAGTGCACTTGCCAAAGATCTTTCTGCGCTTGAAAAGGGTGTGGAGAGCATGCCCTACTGATCAAGTTGTGCCATTCAGTGGGTTTTTACTTAGCTTTCCAAAATGAGAATAATCTTTTTCTGAAAGACTGTATTCTCTGTAGAATAACTGAAAAGCTTACGCTGAATTTCAAAAAGCTCGTGTTTATTGTGGTAAAAATAGCTTTTAACTTCTCTAGATTAGTAACAGTATAGTTGAAATCCTTGGAAAACTAAAGAAGTCATTATTTGACCTGGTAGGATTCCTGCAGGAATGGCAGAAAACTTTGGCTCGCTGGTCATTAAATATCTACGTAACGATGTAGATTAGTTTTGTGGATTCCCCTCTAATGACACCTTAGTCTCCAACATAATTATGATGTGCATTTTGTTGTTGTTATTTACTTGTTCAGACCGAGAACTCTCTATTTTCTGGAAAATAAAGAAGGTTTAGGAGCTAAACTAGCACTTATCAAAAAAACATGTATTGATGGAATGGTACATATTTGAAAATGCAGCTAGGAGATTTCCAGCCTTTGGGCAGAAGTCTTGAGTGAGGATTGCTCTACTTATCAGTAAATCACAAGTTGATTTCAAAAGTATGAAGTGTTCATGACAATTATGTCAATTCTCTACGCAGTATGGGCAGAAATGAACTTGTCGTTAACAAGCTGCAACACTTCAGTTACTGTAGTCAGAGGGTTACCAAAGTTGCCAGCTGTTCTGGAGGGCCATGTGTGGAAGAGAAAGATAAGGGTTTTCTCCCCTTTTTTTGTGGTGTATAATCCGGGAATCATCCTTTGGTTTTGGGGGCAGGAGGAGAAAAAGATAAGTAGGCCTGTCCTGAGTATGGAAGTGTAATGTGGTGGTCTGCAATGCAAGGATAGTGCTTTAGATGAACCTGGGTTTGTGGGCTGTAGAAAGTCATGGGGGTTTTTGTCCCCCCAAAAAAAAAAAAAAAAAAAAAAGGCAAGTAATTTGAAACGTACTTGTTTTAACAGGTAGACTCCAGGACCTAAATGCTTCCGGACAGGAAGATGTATGCGTTATTAACCAGACCCCAAAATAAGAGTGGGTTTAAGCCACTGCCTGTCGTAATCATAGGTAAGCTTTTCCCCTGCCAGCATTACTGTGTTCTCTCGTGCTGTTGTTGCTTTGGACTTGCTGTCTTCAGCTTTTGTTCCACCTGTTCTTACTCAAACCAGAAATGTCTGACCACTGTTTCTGCATCCTTTCACTGACAGCCAAACTTTCTCTAGTACTAAGAGGAAGACCACTAAGAGTTGTGGGAAGTAGGGAACCAGGTATTTGACAAACTAAAACACATACCTCTTTTTAACAGTAAAATTGGTAACCTTTGGGGCATCAGTTCAGCTGGGCCTAGTTTTTCTCTGTTGGATATTTAGAAGGGTTTGAAACCTTTTCATGACAGATAGTTAATCAACTTGCTGTGAAGTGATTATCTGTAATGCTTGAATTGGAGGTGGGTTTGTGGGATCTTTTTTCCCCATCGTGTGTGTTTAGAAAGTGCTCCAGATGCTGTTAAAGTTTCTTGAGAATTTTCACAAGTGCAAGTCAGCTACACTGATTTCGTACTGACTTAATAGAATGGTAAAAAGATAAGGGTTTTCTACCAGTTTAGAAAACAGGTTATATAGTAACTGTCTTGTCTCCCTTGCAAGAGGGGAGCTTTGCAATATGAGGTGATTCTTGGAGCAAAGCACAGGTAGTGATGTCAGTGCCTTCCCCTCTGTGACCGATCACGAGCTGTGCTCAAGCGCAGGTGTTGGACCCCGTTCATCTGAGCATGTGTTTAAATGTCTTTGTAGAGCTGAGTTCCTTCCTTATCTGTCATCTAATTTATAGCACTCGAGAGAGCTAGTCCAAAGTTAGTGCACCACATAAATCACACTTAATCCTTGCTAACAGTGAGTTTGACAAAGGACACCACTAGCAGCAGGTTCTAGTCTGAGAGTGCCTTTGAACTGCCCAGTTGTACAAGTCTTTAGGTGGGAGGGAGGATATTTTGGCACATCCCTAGTGCACCTATACAGGGATCCAGTGTGGAGATGTCACTAAAGCCTCAGAAGTGTGAAGATGCACACTCTGAGGAGGCTGTTGAACTGAAGCAGCTCAGCTGTTTCACTGCAGCTGGACATTGCACACAAGTTCCAGCTACTTCCCCAGGCCCTGCTCCAGGAAGACTGTGGGCTCCCTCCGCTGTGCTGGCAGCCTGATGAAAGCAGTTGCTTTCTAGAATAGTTTGAGCCCTAGAGGCATCTGTACTTGTGACCATCCGTATCAAACTTGGACGTGGTTCAGAGTAAATCCTCTGCGTGTGTTGCTGAGTGATATGCCCTCAGGTGATGAGGTTTGACTTAGGTGCCTCCTTGTACTTTCTAAAGCAAAGAAGTAATCTGAAAAGTGTTATATTTTACTATAGTTGTGGTTTAGTTTGCTTTTAATTTTTGCTGCTGTTGGTTTTGGGTAACTTTCCTGCAAGTGGAATATTCCAAACACTGACCTTCAGATGCTGGTCCTTGCTCAGCACAGCAGACTTTGGCCCCAGTTGTCGCACGTACTGCCCTTCACATGGTGCAGCTCAGTTTTAGCTTTACAGCCTGAGCCTCCCTCCCTCTCAAATCCCCAAGAAGCAGCCTTTGCTCCAGTTGCTCGCACATACAGCATGGGCACTGTGTCAACACAGGCTGCTGTGTCACTTCAGCTCTCCTCCCCTACATCGTCACTGCATTATGTAATGGTGGTTAGTCACATACTAGTGAGCAGCAAAGCCTGAGCAGCCAGAGAGGCTGACACCTGGTTATGCAGACACTGTAACACATTAAACATGCTGGAGAACAGCCATGTGAAAACTTTCCACCGGCTACTCTCACCAGCCTTTGGAGTCACATATATCAAGTTTTTCCACTGGCTGTTGGGGTGGTCAGCAGGAGTTCAGTCATCCAGCAATTCTGTTAGAAGTGCTGTATTCTGAGGGGGTTGTCTTGGCATGGCAGCGAGACTTTTTTCCTTAACACACTGCCTGCAGTACCATGGTAGGGCTGGTTCCCATTTGAAAGTGTCTTCAAGACCTGTTAGTCAAAACTGCTCTTGCCAGATATCCCTTATTAGATGGGATGTCTTACTGAGCAGAGCTGTTCCCCCTTCACTTCAATAATCAGTCTCTTTTCTGGATTTACTCTGTATCCTGTGCACAATGAACTACTCTGCAGTGGTGTGAAATGAGCATCCAGGAGAACTGAGGTACCCAGTCAGTATGTGACTAGTTTCTAAACCTTTGAAGAAGTTAATGAGCGATAACTCAATTCAATTCATCAGCATGCTAGAGATTTTGAGCTTCAGGTGAGGTTAACCTCTGGCTTGTTTAACCCAGTGTCTTTTCAGTAAGTTCTGAGGACGTTGCAATGCAAATAGATGCAGCTGAGGAAGAGAAGGGGACATATGAGGGTAAAATGACTTCCCCAACTCCATCCAATAGGTCAGTGGCCAACCTGGAATAGAAAGTCCGCTGTATCTACAACAGTGTCATATCCTTTGAATCAGTCTGGATATTAGAAACACTTCTCAAAGGGCTGCTCTACCTACAGCAGTATAAATACTTCTCCATTGTGTCTTTTTAGGGAACGGACCTTCAGGAATCTGTCTCTCCTATTTGCTCTCAGGCTACATCCCTTACTTCAAAAGAGACTCTCTTCATCCTCATCCTATTCTTCAGAGGAAACTGGAAGAGGCGCCGGATATCTCCATTTTGGACCAGGTTTGTGTAAAGAGAAACAGTATAACATCACAGTAAAGCATCCTAAGCAGTATCTTATAAGTGATAACCTCATTTGAATTTTCAAAGTACACCGACAGAATGAGCCTTAAGCAAAGAACTTCTAGTTGTCTAGATCTCCCTTGCATTGCTACCAAGTTCCTTGACGTAGTCCTTGGGTAATAACAGGGTCTGTATGCTGGTAAATGAGCTTCCCAGAACACCGAAACCACTGGTTTGGAAATACTGGAGTAACAAATAGTAGTCTGCCCAGCAGGAAATGCATTTTAAGCATCTGATCTGCCTCTCCTTTAGGATTTGGAGTATCTGTCTGAAGGCTTGGAGGGACGATCTCACAGCCCTGTGGCTCTTCTATTTGATACTCTTCAGCGTCCAGACACAGACTTTGGTGGAAGAGCAGAATCTGTCCTCACTTGGTGGCATGAGACCGACAGAGCCGTCCCCCACCTGGTCCTTGGCAGAAACGCTCCTGGAGGTGCCTGGCATGTATGTGAATTGAAGCCTAACTGCTTGGGTCTGCATGTTGTAAGATAGCCAAGTATGTTGACTGGAGAGGCAAAAGCTCCTTTAATATGCCAGTCAGCCATGTCTGATTTTTATGTCTATAAGACAAGCGAAAGTTTAAAAGGGAGAAAAGCATGAGAGGCATTTATATTTCCAGTCTACTGTTCTTTTTGGAGAACGTGGATGGTTTCATCATGACAGCAGATCAGAGGAAATTGCTTGTTTCATGATCTGTGCCATATTGAAACATGGCAAAATTGCATTTCACTTCTTACATTAAATAACTGAAAGTCATTTTACTGTGTTTCTTGTTCCAGTCCATCGAGGGCTCTATGGTTACCCTGAGCAGAGGGGAATGGATGGGACTCCCAGATCTCCCATTCAAGGACTGGCTAAAGCAAAAGAGAAGGTAAGATATTTATGGTGTGATTATTTGCAAACATCTGGAGGTTGTTTGGAAACCTGGAGTGGACTTCTTGAATATAGCTACCTATCTGTTATAGATGATTCTAGTGAGAGAAAGGATACTCTCCCACCTGTCCCCCCAGTAGAAGTCCATTCTGCATTCAGTGATTCAGGTAAAGTTGCGGTGCTGCTTGGAATGTGTCCTCCTCAACACCCACTGGGGAGATGGATCACAGTGACCATGAGTTCTGAATAAAGCTTGGAAAAGGCATGGTCATCTGACTTGTGTCTACTGCTGTTGTCCCTAAGGACAAGGATAATAAGCTCCGCTACTATGCAATCTCTGAGGTGCTCTGGAGATGTGTATCAATTAATCTTAAAAGGTCCAGGAGTTAAAAATGGAATGGAAGCAAGATGTGGGAGGAAGGCATAAATGAACAACCATGTTCTTAGGGATAGGATTCATGCTAGAGAAAGCTGCCTCTGTCCAACAGCTTGTGGACCCGAGTGTTAGCTCTGTATACCAGGAATAACTTTGCTGAAGTCGGGGAAACTAGATAAGTCTTCTCTGGTAGTGCCAGGATGGATGGCTCTAGGATACGTTCAGTGGAAGAGGGGAGAAATTCCAGTCTCTTACTTAACTCCTGCTTGACCTTTGTACAGAGGCCTCAGAAACAATAGAGCCACAGCAGAAGACATTGCTCAATATTACCAACACTATGTGATGAAGAAAGGACTGCAGAAGAATTTCAGATGTGGTACTGTTGTGACCTCTGTGAGGAAAGTGAGTGCAGGCACAGAAAGATCTCACTCACAGAAAGATCTGCAGGAGAATAGTGACTCACTCTGGAACTTCAACGAGAAAAGTACGGAGGTCTTTCAGGTGGATGGATTTTTCAAAACTGTGAAAGGTGATAAAGAGCCCTTCTCCGTCTATGCAGAGAATGTGGTCTTAGCTACAGGAACATACGATAGTCCTACTTGGCTTGGGGTCAAGGGAGAGAACCTTTCTTATGTCCATCATCAGCTGTCTGCCCTAGAGGAAGCAGTGAAGAACAGCAGCATTGGCATCATGTCTGATCCAGTCTTGATTGTAGGTGCTGGTCTGACAGCTGCTGATGCAATTCTCTTTGCTCACCACTGCAATATTCCAGTAATCCATGTTTTTCGGAGACGAGTCAGTGATCCAGGTCTTATTTTTAACCAGCTCCCCAAAATGATGTACCCTGAATACCACAAAGTCCATCAGATGATGAAAGAACAGTCGGCTGCTTGTGCTGGGCCCTATGACTGTTACGTTAGCCTTCCTGAACATCATGTGCTATCCTTTGGCAAGGACAAGAAATGTATCTTTCAAGACAAGAATGGCTACCAGAAAGTTTATAAAATTTCCATGGCTCTTGTTCTAACTGGCTCAAATCCCAACCTCTCCTTTCTGCCAAATAATGGCATTGACTTGGCAATGGACAGTGACCAACCAGTCAATCCAAAGAGGAATCCCATAGATGTTGACCCATTCACCTATGAATGCACTCAGGAGAAAGGGCTTTATGCTCTAGGACCTCTAGCTGGAGATAACTTTGTACGCTTTGTACAGGGAGGGGCTCTGGCTGTTGCCAGCTCTCTGTTAAAGAAAGCAAACAAAAATCCCCCCTAACAAAAAAAAAAAAAAAAAAAAAACCCTATGCCCCAAAAAAAAAAAAAAAAAAAAAAAAAAAAATCCCTATGCTAACTGTGTTCGAATGGGTTACTGCTGTTTTCTTAGAGAAGCAAGTCATCTGATTTGTACATCCTCAAATGTGAAGCCCACTCCAGGTATTCTCCAAGGTTCTGCAGAGAGTTACTAAGTTCTTGCTGAGTTTTTTGAGAAGATTGTCACCAAATACAGAGTGGGTTTTACACATGGCAGTACCTTCAATCCCTGGGGATTCAGCTCCTTTCCCGCATAGCTGTGCGTGAAGGCCACAGGGGCTTTGAATCTTGTGCCTGGAAAAATAGGGGGCAAGAGAGTGATTGCTCTATGTAACACCTTCCAGGCTGCTGAAAATTGAATTGGGGAACAATCAATCTTAATTATTTTCAGACAGCAGGCTGACAGCCCTGTGTCTGTCAGTGTCTTACAGTGTTTTCCCATGAAACAAAGTAAGATGACATGGTTTTACTTGCCCCTCAGCTCTATGTTCTTATTGGACAAGAAATCACTGAAAGATGCCGCAGGTACCTCTCTGGCACATGAAGTGGTACTCTGCAAATAAAAACTGACACAGGGACAGTCAAAACTGTACTGTCTTGCTGACACCAGGAAGAAGTAATATGTAATACCTTTTAAACAAGAGATTCCTGTGATGGTTTTTTTCTCCTTCTTGAGAGGGAATGGTACTGATGTACAAACACTTGGTTTGCCATCTTGCAGCTTTCTACTTCCTAAATCCTAAAACTGCGATGGCCAGATTCTTGGCAGCTGCTGTGGAGACAGCAGAACTAAAGGGGAGCTACTGGTCTGTCTTGTAACTGCCCAGGTACTGTATGGGACTTCTGCTGCACAGAGTATTTCAGAAAGACACGATATGTTATATATTGTGTAAATTTCTAATGTGATTTTTTTAAAGAATACTATTTGTCTAAAGGGGAGATGGCAAAGTCACTTTTTGATAGTTTTATGCTATATATAATAATTTTTAATACTAGTTTTCTACAAGATTTTTATTGGCAAAATATTTTGTTACAGGCTTTCAGTCAGTGCTTTGAATGAGCTGGGGTGGGTGGGAATAATGCCTTATGTTGCAAACAGCATTCTCAACAGGCCTACAGGGCCTTTCATATCTCTTGCAGGAGAAAAAAAAATCAGAGTCATAGCTAATCTTATTTGATATAAAGACAGAATCTGCTCCCCGTGCTGCACTGAAACTCACTGACATGACAGGATGCTGCACGTGTCTCTGGAAAGCTGAGTATGTGGAGACAGTGGCTGTTTGTAAGTGAATCAGCCTCAAGCTGAGATGTAGAAGGAGCTTGTCTGTGGTGTTGCTGTATCGCACTTGAATATTTTTGCCATGTTCTTGTATGAAATTTTTCAATAAAGTGATTTTGGGTTTAGTCTGTGTTGTGCTTTTGAACTCTGACTTTGAATCTCTGACCTAGAGAAAAATCTAATGAACTGTTCATCAGCTTCCTGGCAAGCACCAGGGTGTGGTTTGTGCCTGCTGAATCCTGCATCTTTCCTATCCCTAGGAGCACAACACTATGGATTTGCTTTCTGTGTACCTTCCTCTATCCAGTAGGCTGGAGAACCCTTGGCGACTGCTTTGGCAGTGTGTGTCTCTTTGGTGAGCCTAAAACACAACAGCAAACCAAGCTATTTGCCAAGCATGTTCTTGCCTGGGGGATCTCGGGTCTGTTTCCTGTTACCTACTGTCTTCTCCTGTCTGGAAAAATCCCAAATTGGGGCCTAGTCCATTAAGTCAATAAGACAGTTTAGATCAGAAGGGACAGTTGAAGGTTTCTGGTCCAACCCCACTAAAACAGGGCAAGCTTTGAAGTTACACCTGGTTTCTCAGTGCCTTGATGGGGAAAGCTTTGAGTATCTCCCAGGATGGAGATTGCACTATCAAAATGTGATGGCCCCATTCAACATCTGACCACCTTTGAGAATTGTGGAGTATTTTCTTCACTGGTTGAAGTGTCCCTATTGCAGCTTATCTATACTGCGATTTGGGTGGTGGGGGGTGGCAGTTGTTTTCCTGTTTTGTTTTGGGGTTTTTTTTTTACCCACTGCAGAGCACTGAGCTCAATGTGTTTAAAACACCAATCCTCACTCTTTGAAGGCTAAGACTGGAAGGCCCTCAGGATTTTGGAGGCACAGAGGGGTGGTGTGGGTGAGTTTCCTGCTCTCTGGAATTGCTTGCTGGTCAGAGGGGTTGGCAATGCCCCCAGGGTTCTCTTTGTTAGCATTGCTTTAAGTGAGGTGACAGTTGTTCCCCTGAATCGGTTATCCTGGCAATATAGGGATTCCTGAGCAAGGATAATGTGATCCTGTGCCATCATATATGTTTTTGGTACTCCCCAGGAGACATGGGCTGGTACTCCTTTAATCCTGCCTTATGCTCTTTGAGAGGAGATCCCAAGCAGTGCAGGATTGTGCTGTCCCTCTCCTGCAACTGACCTTTACTAGGGGAAAAAAAAAAAAAAAATCAGTGATCAATGTTCACCTTTCTAAAAATACCGTTTTTGGCTAGGTCTCAAATTCCTGCATCAAAAGCAAACGCAGTGGAGAACAAAAGCCAAAGGGCATCTTAAAAAAACAAGGGGCATCAGAGTATGCTGGGAATAAGGGCATAAGACTAGTGTCAAGTGAAATGCTGTTCTTCCCATCACTGAGGCCAAAGTCACAGTGTTCGTGCTGATCATTCCTGTATCCCATATTGTGTTACAGTGATCTAATTTGCCGTGGACTGGAGAGCTCTGAACTAGGGCAGCAGCCTGTGCCTCTGTCAGGGCAGCTCGGGTGACCGTGTTTTAAAGAGCCGGCTTTCTTGCCCAAGAGGGCCGAGCTGATTGCCTGCCCTGTGGAGGATCAGAAAGGGAAGTGGTTTTTCACAACTGACACTTAGAAAATATCCTACTTTCTGCCCCGGAGGGATGTCAAAGCAGAGGATCTGAATAGCAGAAGTGGTGGTTTACTCATCAACAAGTCCTCAGGGCAAGGCTGCGTGGTGCTAATCCAAGTTGTTATTTAATTCTCCGTATCCAGGGAGGCAAATATGAATTATTGTTCCAAAACAATCGGCTATGAGAGTCAACAGATACCAGCTTTGTTATGTGTGGAATTCACCCGCGCATTATAACCTTGACCTACAGCATGTGATGGGACCAGGAAAAAAAGTTGCCTTTCCCTGGGCCTTCTGCACATTGAGCTCCACCTGTGGTAGTGACGCAGCTTCGTTGGGTGAGATGCTAAGCGCTTTCACCACTGTTTCCATTGCTGTTTCCACTGCTGCAATTTCCATTGCCATGAGGCCCAGCTGGGAGGTTACCTCGGTGAGTTAGCTGGCCATTTAAAATTGGAGACGACTCAGCTTCATTTCTCTATCCCCTGCAAGTCCTTTGGTGTCTCTCCACGCTGCCCAGTGGGAACCTTCTGCAGACACGGTGACCAGAGCAGGTCAGTCAGGGAAGCCTCAAGCATCTCTTTGCTCAATTCAGATAGAGCAGTTTGGGGTTTTTTTTATTCAGACCTTTGGCTGCTGCTGAGAGGTGATGTTTGTCTCTCCATGTCGGGAGTGACAAACATCACATGTCACATCCATTTTCTGTCCATCAGGGCTCCTCAACCATTTGGTTTCCTCCCTGAACTGATCAGTCCCCAGTTTGTGTCTTTGCAGAACAAGCTCCTCTGCTGGCACTTGCCGCAAACAGTAGAAAATCATGCACCCAGAACACAAACGAGGATTTGAAGCTTACCAACAAGACAAAAAAATAGAATTGTGGGGTTTTTTTATTTTACTGTGCTAGGGAGTCCTTGTAGTCAAGGCTGATGTGTTTCAAATAAACACGCTTGTGGGTGCGGCAGAGCTGACTGTGCAAGTCTAAACTCGGGTAACTTCTATTATGCAATTAACGTACAAACTTACTCCTCCTACTTTTTGCTTTGGTGAAGGGCTTACGAGGTGTCAGAGCATGTGCGTTGTCAGCTTTCGCTTCTTAAATGAAGGGAAGGATACCCTCTCTTTAAACAGAGCCATCTTCCACGTATCAGCTGGATTGAAATTAATTCAGTAAAATAGCCTTGGGAACCCCTTTGGTTGTTCAGCATTCCCTTTTTTGGGCCACACTTCTGTCTTTGAGTACAGAACTAAATCCAGCCACGTCTTGGCCAGACCACTCTATTTAAAAGGTCTACCGAGCATTACAATACATTGCAAGTCCGATGATTGCCTAAGTCTCCGCTTTATAGGGACCCTTAGGGAGCTGTCAGACTGTTGCAGACTGCGGTGGCTTCAATTAACCTGCTCCCTTTGCAAAATACAGGTATTTGTGGGCAGGCCAGCAGCCAGCGCATCGCTGCTAACCGACAGCTCCTGAGGTCGTGCTAAGCTGCTTGGAATGGGGGGGCACCTGCGGGGTGGGCGGTGGAGGGGGGATCTTCTAGCAGAAGGGTTTTCAAGCTGGAACCAAGCCTGGAGGCTCCAGGGCAAAACATCTGACTTCCAGGGCTCTGAAGCAAGCCACGAGGGTCAAAGCAAGCTCCCGGCTAGAGGGTGGCTAAGTGGCGAGTAAGAAAAGGGAGGGCAAATTTTGTTGCTGGTGTTGGCTGGATCCTGCCTTCTGCCAGAGCCTGGAAAGCTGCACAGATCTGCTGTCCAGCAGGAGTTTCCTTTGCCATCCCTGAGGACCAAGCCCCGAGGGCCAGGAAAAAACCTGGATCCTCTGCTGTGCAGCTCAGAGACGGAGAGAGATTCTGCTCTGGCGTGGGAAGGAAAACGTCTTGACGGCATTTCTGCCTTTGGCGGTATGAATGTGCCCTTCTGCTCCCTGTGGGCACCCATATCGCAAAGCTCGGCTCAGAGAAGCAGCACCGAATAATATATCGATTTACAGGAGCCTGTCTGAGGAGAGGCAGAGCAGGCAGCTCTCGTGAACTTTCTGCAAAGGAAGCAGA